ATAAATCACCACACATACCGCTGCTGTAGGAAGATGGCCGCCGCCGGACAGTGTTCCCACACGAGAACAGCCCAATCACGCATGCTCTTTTCGCGTCCAATTTTCTTCCGCAGCCATGCCTCAATGTCTTGCTCTTCAGGCAGTGTGAGCTCTGCTTTGCCCTGCGGGTTGTACCAGGTAACTAGGCGTTCGATTTCAGAGGCCTAAGATTAGGGAAAAGGAGAGGGGGTGGGGGAGATGAGCCAGCTTCAAACGAAACTCGTGCTTACAAGCTGTGTGTGCGCCTGCTCGACGGTATGCGCGAGCAACGGTATCCCGTCCAAATGTGCTCTTGTGAACCATATGGGAAACAAAGAGAGGAAGGTATTTCAGGTAAAAAGTAGGCGCCTCGGTGAAATACAGACGCATAGCGTGAGGATTCGGGCAACACGCAAAGTTGTCAAAGTTACATTCAAAGATGTCCTCACTGTCGACGACTGATGCAAGTGACGCTTAAACTCCTCCAGTAGTTCTGGGCTTGCTTGTCGGAAGAGGAGGATGTGTGCAATAGATCATGGAGACAGGTTGGTTAAGGGCATTGACTTTACTAATATAGTGGAACGATAGGGCATTGCGTATCTGTCCATACGGAGGAGCTGCAAATGAGACTCCATGAGTGCTATCAGGCTCTGTTAGTCAGACATCCTGGGTTTGCGGCACCTGACTGCCTGGGACCCATATACACGTAAAGAAGAGAGCAATTAGTGCAAGGGAGAACGCAGTCATGGTCTGAAACCTATTGGCATGAAAATACTCCCTAAATGCTTTCGAACGCCTTAGACGGTTACTGTATAGGGACCATAAAAGTCAGCTTTATCCAGCTTAGTCCACAGAAGGGGTTCGGTGGTAGAAGTGTCCCATCCAGTTACAAATGTTTTTTCTTCACGCTGAGCGAACATGCGTCGCCAGCCAGTAGAACTAGCATTGTGCTTGCATTGAATACGCTGACGTTCAAAAGTAGAAGATTTGATTGAACTAGAAGTTTATTTGCCTGACGTTTCGGAGTCTGTCTTGAACCCTTCATCAACTATAAACGCAGAAAAGACTAATAAGGGCACAGGTTACGCAGGCCCGCGCTAAATCAGTAAACGCAATGACTTGCCGATCTGAGACCTTGTCTGAGCAGAGGGATCAGTCACGTGGGGAGGGAACGGTCATGCAACACGTTCGACGACAGTGAACCTAATTGTCGTCAACATCCAACACGGACGATGAAATTGCGGCACCTAATAACTTAGAATCGGACAGTCAAGCTATCGCATAGAACACGATCCCAAGCGATAATCATGAGAGCTGCTAATTGTAGTATGCATGCGGTTGCGTGGCCCCTACGGAAAATAACTACCACGTAACCTATGCATTAATCACCCTATTCTGCGGTTATCTCTGATGAAAGGTACAAGACAGAACCTGAAACGCCAAGCAAATAAACTTCTAGTTCCAGCGATTGCGTCTTCTACTTCAGAACTGCTTTCTAAAACGCGTCTGTTCTCTTCTATCAGCAAAGCTGAAGGTTGTGACATCAGCATAACACGGTTTTTAATCGCATCCTCTACCAATATCCTTTTGTAATCGCAGTAATGCTATGATTGTCGAGAGCGACTGGGCTTTAATCAGCAGAACAGGCTCCTTTTTCTGACAGGCATCAAAAACAAAAGGATTTCTTTACACCAAGCGGAACTTCGAGAAAACGATTGCAAAACGAGGCATTTTTTGAAAGACTATATTAAAAGGGAACTGAAAGGGCAAGAAATAGGCATTATGGCTCAATAGAATGTCGGTAGACATCTGCGATTCGAAAAAAAGGTTAACCTTTAACACGGATACGGCAAAAGTACCTAGAAAACGTTTGTGCATGGCTAAAAGTATAAACGCCCTATAACTCATCGAATCTGAAACGACGTAAAGTCTCCAATAGGAGAATTTTGATGAAGAGGACTAGCGAAGTGGCAAACAAGACTACAGTTATGTCGACCTCACACTGCCCTTAGAGTCCTACGATGATCAAATGACAAAACTAGGTGGGGAGGAGG